TTGCTCAGAACTGGGAGACTTTTTGCTACTTCATCGCAGTAACAATTGTTTCTATTGTTCAAGAATTTTATGTCAAATTTTGGGTGACATCTGATGAGCACGTTTATGTTATAGAGGTAAAAGTGTTGAATTTACTCATGAAAGGATCAATGCATTATTCCGGTTGTGAAACGAATTTCATTGTGAGTATTCTGCATTTGTTATTTCTGATTCATCACTTGATGATTGTCTATCTTATTGATTGAAGGGGAGAATGAAAAATTAAGAATAATCACAAGGTCAATTTCTCCACCTCCATGTTAAATGTAGAATCTAAAGCATGACATTACTTTATTTCTGTAAAATTACTTCCAACTAATCACCTTAGCGAAGTAACCAAAAAGAGAGCTCTATTGAATTTTTGCATACAACAAATGAAGACTGTTAATATTAGGATAAGATTTTGGAATATAGGAATTCTCAATGGTAAATTAATGAAATTAGTTGATATTATAATTCATAGAAAAATTAATATCTTATGTATTCAAGAAACTAACTCGGTTGGAGAAAAGACTAAGAAGATTGATAACTTAGGTTTTAAACTTTGGTATTCTGGTAAGAGTCGCATTAGAAATGGTGGTGTAATTATATATGAGTTTGAAACATAATGTTGTAAAAATTAATAGAGTCGCAGATAGAATTATAGCCCTGAAGATTATCATTGATACTAAGATTTTTAATATTATAAGTGCTTATTTATTGATACTAAGATTTTTAATATTATAAGTGCTTATGCTCCTCAAATAGGTTTAGATATCGGGTCTAAAGATAAATTTTGGAATGACTTAGAAGACAATACAATTGATACCTTTTGAAGAAAAAATTTTTTTTGGAGGAAATTTAAATGGACTGTCCGTAGAGTGGTAGAAGATTTTAGAAATATTCATGGTGGCTACGGTTTTGGAGTGACTAATTTGGAGTGACTAATGACACGAAGGTAGAGCTATTTTAGATTTTGATTTAGCATATAATTTTATTATTACTAATATTTTATTCAAGAAAAGAGATGAGTATCTTCTTACTTATAAGAATGAATCTAATAAAACACAAATTGCTTATTTTATTATTAGAAGAAGAGATCGTCGAGATTGTAAACATTTTAAGGTCATTCCAAGTGAGGATTTAAGTACTCAACATCATTTATTAGTTCTAGATTTGAAGATGAAGAGTTGTAAAATAAGAATACTATGACTCATCATCGTAGAATTAGATGAGGGAACTTAAAAGACAAATAAAATTGTTTTTATGAGTAAAATTCAAGATTTTAAAATTTGGGATGTTCATGATGAAGCAAATGATATGTGGGATAAAGTAACAAATACTATTAAACAAGTAATAAAAGATGTACTTGGAGAATCAAAAGAAAAAGTTTATTTAGATAAAAATAGTTGGTGGTGAAATAATAATGTGCAAGAAAAGATAAAATATAAGAGGTTATGTTATAAAAATTAGTTTGAATGTAAAAGCTTAGAGAACTGACAAACATATCAAACGGCCCGCAGGGAGTCTAAAAAAATAATATGCGACGCTAAAAATTCTGTTTTTAATTATCTTTATAATTTATTAGATTCTAAGGAGAGTGAAAAATATATGTATAAATATGTATAAACTAGCCAAACAAAGAGAAAAGAAAAGTAAAGATTTAACTCAAGTAAAGTGTATTAAATATGATAATCAAAATGTGTTTTTCTTAGAAAAAGATATTCAACATAGGTGGGTGAGTTATTTTGATAAACTTTTTAATGATGTTTCTGAAAATACGACCGACCGTAGTGATCTTAATATGATTAATAATAATAAAACATTTCATTTTTACCGTCGCATTAGTAAAAAAGAAGTTGAGGATGCTTTAAAGAAAACTTTAAAGAAAATATAAAGGGTGGAAAGTCTGTAGGATCTGATGATATCCCAATTGAAGTATGAAAATGTTTAAGAGGTTTGAGAATTTCTTGGCTTACTAAACTCTTTAATGTTATTTTAAAAACTAAAAAGATGCCTGAGGATGGGGGAAGAGTATTTTGGTTTCAATTTTTAAGAATAAAGGGAATGCACAAGAGTGCGCAAATTATAGAAGAATTAAGTTGATGTGTTATACTTTAAAATTATGAGAGAGCGTAATTAAACATAGGTTAAGACGTATTACAAAGATTTCTCATAATCAATTTGGATTTATGCCGAGCAGGTCTACTATGGAAACTATACTTATTGAGAAGTTTGATGGAGAAGTACAGAGATAATAAGAAGAATCTACATTTGTTTTTTATTGATTTAGAAAAAAATCTTAAGATAATGTTCCAAGAGAAGTCCTTCGGAGAGTTTTTGAGAAAAAAGATGTTCATATGACTTATATTCAAGTCATTAAAGATATGTATACTAGAGTTGTTACTTGTATTCGAACTGAAGGAGGATTGACCAAATACTTTTTTATTTCTATTGGATTACATCAAGGATCGACTTTAAGCCAATATCCTTTTACTTTAGCTATGGATGGTCTTACTGGACACTTACAGGAGGATGCACCTTGGTGTATGCTTTTTGCTGATGATATCCTTCTCGTGAATAGGACGAGAGAAAAAGCCCAGGAAAAACTTAAATTATGGAGGTACACATTGGAGTCTAAAAGTCTTCATTTGAGTAGAACTAAAACTGAATACATGGAATGTAATTTTAGTAGTAGTAGCTCTAGTGCAGAAGTGTAATTTTGGGTGATCAAATTATTAAAAGATGTGAACGATTTAGATATCTCGGGTCTGTTGTTCAAAACGGTGGTGATATAGATGAGGATGTTAATAGTAGAATTCAAGTTGGTTGGTTGAAGTGGAGGAATGCTTCGGGTCTTTTGTGTGATAAAAAAGTACCGCTTAGACTGAAAGCAAAATTTTATAAGAAGGTGGTGAGACCTGCAATACTTTATGGATCTAAATGTTGGCCCTTAAAAGAGAAGCATAATACTAAGTTAAGTGTTGTCGAGATGAGAATGATTAGGTGGATGAGTGACTTTACACTTAGAGACAAAATGCGAAATGAATATATCCGTGATAGGGTTGGTGTAGCTCTTGTGACGAACAAAATTAGAGAAAGTCGCCTTAGATGGTTTGGTCACATTAAGCGTCGACCATCTGATGATCCGATTAGGAGAGTAGTTTTAGATTCAACTTATGTTAAGAAAGGCAGAGGTAGACCTAGGAAGATTTGGGCTTATTGTATAAAAAAATGATTTTAATTTATTAGAACTAAATGAAAATACGACACTAAGTAGGATGCAATGGAGAAAAATGATTCATGTAGTCGACCCCATGTAGTGGGATTAAGGCTTTGTTGTTGTTGTTGTTGTTGTTGTTGCAAATAATACATAATTAAATTGATAGATTGTATGTTATGAAATGAAGATTGTGCAACTCGAGTTTGTTGAAACTAAGTCCCCCTTTTGTGGTCACAAAGACATTCATCTTTCAATCTTTCTTGTTGTATGTTAATAATCTTTGAAGGAAAATGATTTAAATGATATAGCTCTGCTATATGCTTAATTTGTAGTTTGTGGTTACTTATGTTTCAATTTAAAATTTTAGCATTATAATTTTTCATTGGTTTAAAGGTCATCTTTTGTTTTAGTTTCTTTGCAGAAAAGCTATCATAATTTAATTAGGCTCATTATTATTTGCAAAAGTACCATGGAATTATAATTTATATTAAGTTGCCAAAATAGTGCCCTATCTGTTTACATAGGGTCATTTTAGTCCCAGAATTTATAAAAATGCTAAATTACTCCCCAAACTCTTTTGATGAGAGCTAAAGTAGTCCTTATTGGTGATGACTACTCTTAACACATATTAAAAGAGTCTGGGGACTTAATTAAAACTATTATAAACTTTGGGAATAAAATGGCCTCCTTCAAAAAGTCGTGGGATTATTTTGACACTTTTCTCAATTTATCTTTTTCCATTTTTTTAAATCATTCTAACCTGTAGGGTTGTCAAAAAAACTCGTTGTTCGCGAATAACTTGTGTTTGACTTGTCAATTAGCTCATGTTCGGCTTATTTTTACTTTAAATAAAGAATATATATATATATATATATATAATATTATTTATATAATAATATATTATATATATTTATATCTAAGTTTAAATTATAACAATTTGTGATCATTACGTGGTTCTGCTCCTATTGCATAGAGTTGGTGCTGGTTCGAATCCAACACCTTACACTATTTTTTTAATTAATTTTAACGAGTCAATTTCAAGCCGAACTTGAGCCAAACACAAATAATAATATTTAAATTCAACCGGACACGAACAATAATATTTAAATTCAGTTGAACACGAACACACTGTTCACGCGCCAATTTCGAACAAGCTGAACACAAGCCAAGCATGAGCTCGGCTCATTTAGTGCCTTACTAACCTCACTAGTCATCCACCTATATCTAGCTATATTGCATCTAGATAGATATAGGAACACATATATGATATGACACGAACAACATATACATCGGTTATTGAAAAAATAGGCTACAATCATGTATTGAATATGACATTAACGCACGCACAGAGACATATATGCATACATATATATATATGTGTGTGTAAGTATGATATAGTAGTTGCACTAATTAAATAAAAATAAAATTCATAAATTCCGTTTCATATAATAACAAATTTTCTAAATAAATTTCTCATCGATTTTTTACTCAATTTATTACACGTGTCTGCGTGCTCTTTATTTATTTATATATTTTAACTAGGTTTGTTGATGACATACTTTAACAAAGGCCTGACATTGATCAGATACTGCATGCTTTGATGGTATAAATTGTCAGTGGATCATAGATGTTAGTCATGATATGATTTGTTTAAATAGCTATTACAGCATTTTTATTGAAAAAGGCTATTTTCAGGTTTTTCTTTTCTTTAATGCCTCAAGATCTACCTTTTTAAGTGTCTCTTTTCTCCTTTTTATAGGCGGACCTTAACCAAGCCATTTCAATGGTTTCATATTATGCTTCATCCTCTGAGCCTGCACAGATTCGTGGCAAAACTGTCTATATTCAATACTCAAATAGGCAGGAGATTGTAAACAACAAGGGTTCTGGTGATATTGCTGGGAATGTCTTACTGGTTACAATTGAGGGTGTTGAAGCGGGTGATGTCAGCATAGATGTGATTCATCTGGTGAGTTTTGCGCATTATATGTGTTTCTATTAAGTCTTGCATACTTGCTTTAGAGTGAGAATATGGAATCAGCCTTTCAATTTTGATTTATTTGCTTGTTTAGTTGAAGTTTATTCACTTTTAACAGCGTATTCGGTTTCTTGATCTTCTGTTATTTGTTTATTTATTTTTTTGAAATGTCGCTTTGATCATCAGATCCATTCAAGAAGAAATTCCAGTCAGCCCTCGGCTTGCTTTTTCTTTTGACTATACCATTTTGAACTATTTGAATAATTGTGCACGCTTTATCTATGGAAAAAATTTACCTTATGCACGGTTTTTGAATATGTGTTGTATAACCATGTCAAAATTAAAATCTCTCTTTTATGGGCTGTTGTTTTTATGTGTAACGTTATGCTTATATTAATATACTTCTGACAAATTTATGTATTTCCTACCTCACAGTTGACACAAATATATGCAAAATGTGTATATTGTAATTTTATTCTTTCATATTTTGTAAGAATCATTAGATATACTTTATTTTTCACCATGGTTTTTCTGTGTTGGGTTTATTGAGGCCCACACATTCTATTCAATTTTTAAGTATGATGCTCCCATGTTTTTACTTCAAAAAATCATAGCTGTTGTGGCATTAGCCCTTGGGCGCTAGGGCCAGTGAGATGCTACCTAAGTGTGTTGTGCCATTCCCAGGAGATTCACATAGAAAAATGAGTGGTAGTTGTCGGTCAACTTTTTGATTTGATTTTAAAAATAATGAAAATAATTTTGAAATTTAATTTAGTATAATAAGAGGTATATATTTTGTTGTTTTGAAAGTAGCGTGTTTTAATTTTTTTGAAAAATAAGACCAAATGGTTCTCATTCGTCCAATAGTTTGCATAATCGTGTCCGATACTGCAAATACTACACCCTCCCGAAAGATAAGTGCATACCTCGGCGATAAACCTAATTTTGCAAACTAAGAGATTTGTGACATCCGTTTGGGCTTCGAACCTTTTATGTGTGACCTACAAGTTTTCCTATCTAATACAGAGATTAAATATTGTTTATTTTACCTGGGTACCAAGTTCCTTATAGATTCAAGCCTTTATATTTAATTACATCCCAAATGACTGGGGTCACTTGAGAAAACTCTCGATAATGATCAGAGGTACTAGTCTTCAAGAATTCGATGTTTAAGTTTTCACGGTAGGACATGAAAAAACAAGTGGGAGTGACTCAAATAGGAACAATTATTTTCAGGAGTCCAAAAGAAGGAAAATGTAGGGGATGTCACAGATCTTGAGAAGATACTTTAGTGACTCTCCAAACTATTCTAATGTGTGGCTGATATGACTGTCAAAACAGTTGTTGGCGAACAGCTCGTGTTCGGTTTGTTAAGAAGCTCGTGTTTGGCTCATTCGCTAAGTTAACGAGCTGAACACGAACAAATATTTGTTCGTTCATGTTCGGCTCGTTTTGGCTCGAAATACTACTAATCAATTGTATATATATATGTGTGTGTGTGTGTGTGTGTGTGTGTGATGAATAATATTTTTAAAAAAATTAATTGACTACAAGGCTACAAAGATTTATAATCAATTAAAAGTATTAATTAAGAAAATTGAATAAAAATTATTAAATTAGATTCAAATGTTGTTTTAAATCTTGCCCCAATCCTTAACATTTTATGACTACGTGATTTGGGTTGTCAAAACGATTCTTTGCTCGTGAACGGCCGGTTTCCGGCTCCGCCAAGAAACAACTCGAACATGAACACACTTTTTGAGCTCGAAAGCTCGAAATATAAACAAGGCTCGAAATATAAACAAGCCAAACACAAGCTGAGCCTGGGCTCGCTCGTGTTCGGCTCATTTGCACCCCTAGTGACTGTGTTTTGTAGATGATGTTATTTAGATGTTTAATTTTGTCTATTTTATTATTTGAAACTTACATTTGCATAATATTCAATTATGCACATAGCCCGCAAAGAGATGAGGTTTTACGTCGTAACGATGCCGTCGTAACGAGCGACATCCTCAGAACCTAAAGCGAATTAGGACTTACGCTGCACAATATAAAACCAAAAAAAAGTATGAGGATTTACGTCGCGTTGGGCGAGCTACCTCGAAATTCTATTGGTTGTTAATTAGACTAAAGAGAGTTTAACTGGTGTTGACTTGTGTTGTTGTTGTAGAGTGACGACCACCTCCACTTGTAGTCCGCTTCAAACTTCTTGCCGTGTTGCCCATAAAGTTGCTCCAAACTCCTCGTCGAAGTAGCAGTCCTAAAGTCTAAGTTTCAAAAGATTTTACCAGGTGTGCTCTAAAGTTTTGGTTTTGTTGTCATTATGAGTGGTTAAAGTTCATTAGAGCAACACTGGTTAGGATCCCACGGTTCCCTTATTTCGATACCACTATTTTTTTTTGAATTTATTTAGTTTAAACGAGTTGTTAAGCTCATTCAGATTGGGGAGATCTCGTTAACAACCGTGGGTTACCTCTAAACTCCTCGTCGAAGTAGCAGTCCTAAAGTCTAAGTTTCAAAAGATTTTACCAGGTGTGCTCTAAAGTTTTGGTTTTGTTGTCATTATGAGTGGTTAAAGTTCATTAGAGCAACACTGGTTAGGATCCCACGGTTCCCTTATTTCGATACCACTATTTTTTTTTGAATTTATTTAGTTTAAACGAGTTGTTAAGCTCATTCAGATTGGGGAGATCTCGTTAACAACCGTGGGTTACCTCTTCCGAAGGACTCCCGTAAATTCAAAAGTACGTGTTATGTTTTTGTTTTTGTTTTTAATGTTTAATTTTGAAAAATGGTTTTGCTTTGAAAACATTGTTGAATTTTTTAGAAATAGTTTTTTTTTGAGAGATCTCACCGGTGCGAAGTTCGATGACGTCTCTTTCTTCTGTTCCAGGAGTAGCTTTACAATCATTTAATGCTTCAACCACGTCCGAATTTACCTCGCAAAGGCACATCGAGAAGTTGGTATGAGAATTTCGTTCAACGAAAGATTATGCATAATGTACAGATGTACATAATGAAAAGTATGTCAATAGTCAAGTGTATTGAATATGTATGCTAATGCATTCACATATTTGACATTCAAGCTCAAATTCACTTTCCACATGAGACTTAACTTCAATAATCTTATAGAAACAACACCAAAATCAGCCCACCAACCGGCACCTACTGTGGCTCTAAAACAGTGCACAAAATCAGTCCAAACCGACACTTAAAGTGTTTCCAAAACAGTGCACAAAATCAGCCCAAACTGACACCTAAAGTGTCTCCAAAACAGTGCGCAAAATCAGCCCAAACCGGCACCTAAAGTGTCTCCAAAACAGTGCACAAAATCGGCCCAAATGACACCTAAAGTGACTCCAAAACAGTGCGCAAAATCAGCCCAAAATAGTCCCCAAAACATCATTTAATTACCCTCCAAACAGCATTAAAACAACAAGTAAAATCTCCCAAAATCAGCATTTAAATGGGGCACAAAGCCTCTCAAAAACAGTAAATGAATCAGCACCCAGATGACAATATATAAAACCTCCGAAACCAGCAATCTATAGTGTCCAAACGGTGAAAAAGTCGAGGCAAAACAGTAAGAATGACAAGCTAGAAAGACATCCCAATTCTTCTTCAACACAACAATAATACCGATCCACTGACCAAAAAAAAATTAAATGAAGATTTGCATGCATAGCACACAAAAACTTACATACATTTACAAATCTAATATTCAAACTTTAATTTTGACATACGTATCACCTTGCCTTTTCATAGAAAAGAGGTATTTTAATTGTAAAAGATATGTAATCGTATTATCTTATTGCAACAAAAAAATTTGAGTATAGTGCATATTTATGTGAAAGTTTTAGGTGTTAGATATGTAAATGCAAATGAATTGAGTGGGCATGTACGCAAATCTTCTTATATGGACTGTATTGTACAAATAAAATGAGCAAGTATGGGAATAAAACAAGATTCCGTTACCCATTTACTACAATTGCTGAGGTTCTGTGCTCCAAGCGTTTCAACAGCTCGAAGAAGTCGTGTTCCTTGCTCTTCTACTTTTGCTACCTCCAATTCGGGCGAGACAGGTGAGAGAGAGGGTAGGTCGAGCGATCCTGGTAGAGAGAAAGAGCGGACTCCAGCGAGAGGGATGCGTTCGCTCGAGAGAGACGATGAGCCAAGCGGAATTGTTCGCGAAGAAGCGAGGGGAGGCGAGCAATGGGTGCTTCGATCGAAAGAGGGGAGGCGAGTCTTTCGGTGGAGTGAGGACGTGAGCCCAGAGCGAGCCGAGAGAGGAGGTGGCGAAGCAAGCGAGTGGGGGTTTGGGTGTCAAGCGGGAGAGGCGAGCCGGGAGGGAGGAGGGAGTCGAGGAAGAGAGGAGGTGGGGTCTGTGGCTTCGGTGCGGGAGATCGGGAGTCAAGCGGGGGACTCTAGTGCAGAAGGAAGGAGTCGAGCGAGAGGAGGAAGAGGCGAGGTGCAGAGACAGGATCGAGCAGGCGTCCTTCGATGCTGAGGGAGGAGAGACGAGCGCGAGTAGAAGAAAGGGGCGGATCAGGCGTCAGTTTCTGGGTGAGCAGGATCTGCCGAGAGAGGGGGGAGGCTAAGCAGTTGAGTACGGGATTTCAGTGCAGGGCCTCTATCGAGAGGAAGAGAGGAGGCGAGCGGTGCTTCGACGTAGAGAGGGAGGTTTCTTTGGCTTCGATCGAGTGAGGAAGAAGCAGACGAGATGGGGATCGAGGGGTGAATTCTCAAAGGCAGAAGGAGTTGAATGTCGGGAGGAGCCGAATGCCAGGAAGGTGAAGCCCGTTGAATTGTATAGCCGAGGTGAACGTTACGCGAGACTAGGCAGGGAATTAAACAAATTCCATTCATGGAGTTGGGTTCAAATGGAAAATCTTAACTCTCAATTAAGATGAAATTAAATGACCAATTTTAAATTCAAAAATTCAAAATTCAAAACCGTTTAACCCTTGTTCAGCCCGATTCCAGCCCGAGTCGAACCCGAGTTGAACCTGGGTTGAGCCCGGGCTCGCGCCCTGCTAATTAAAAAAATGTGCATCAATTTTTGTGTTAATTGCTCGCGCACAGAATCATAGCATTATGGGTGTTCTTTCTAGCTAAAGTCGACGTTTCGTCATCCGAGGTTGTCCGGGCGAGTTCGCCGACAGTCGGGTCAAAAATGTGTCAAATTGTGGTGTCCGCGAGTGCTTGATTCACGAAGGGTTTACTTAAGGCCGTCTGATCCTATTAGAACTCATTTTCGGGTCCTCTAAATGTTAGTCCTTAGCCCTTGCAACTAAGAATCGAATGTTTGGGACTACTCATGCGAGGTCTGCACAAAAAACGAGTCAAGAAGTGGCTCGAAGTTCTATGGGAGGTGGGCTCCATTGCTAATTCGCTATGATGGTCAATAAGAACTCTTAAGGCTAGATTTTGGGTTATGGGAGTAGGAAACTAATACCTCACTGAAAATGAGGTCAACAATAGTAATACTGTAATATTTGTTGGCACTTAATACGAGAAATATTTGTATTAGACTTTTTTTTTTATAATTAGGCAATACATGGTCCTTGTGACAACCCGAAATCTTACTTATCAAGGTATTGTCCGCTTTGGCCTAGTGGCCTCACTGTTTTTTCCCCATTGGTATAACTTCCCAGGAAGTCACCCTTTCTAGGAGTGTTCCCATGCGAGCATGTTTAACTTTGAAGTTTGTAATGAAATTCCACCGTTACACCAAAAATCGTCTCAATGTTTAAGAGTTCAACTTCAATCTACTTAAGGGATTTCACAATCTCTCCCACTTTGTCCGATCTTGGGTTCAAAAGGTGGTTCTCATGGCCCAACAATTTGTTCTATATGACACTCGATTTTCATCTTCTAGCTGGTGGGATGCTCTGATACCATTTGTGACAACCCGAATTCTTTGCTTTTGTCTAATGGTCTCATGGCTTTGCCCAATTGTTATAATTTCCCAATAGGTCACCCATTTTAGGAGTGCTCTCTTGCGAGCACCTTGGAATTTCTAATGAAATTCTACTTTTACACCAAAAGATGCCGCGATGTTTAAGAGTTCGGCTTCAATCTACATGAATGGTTTCACAGTCCTTAAGCCATTAGGTGACACCTACATTGTATTTCTTTTTTTTGCCTTTTGTCTCCCCTTTAACTTATTGGACTGTTCATTTTTTTCCAGTTGTTTGATTTGTATGCTATATATTGTGATTAATTATTTATACGGTACTTAATTCTAAAATGGTAAAAACTCTGAGTGATGCTTTCAAACCCCTTTAGTCAACACAGAGCTTTGACGTGCTTCATGAATTTGTAATTACTTACTGTTCATAGTATTATAAAGTTGTTAGTAGGATACTAATAAACTATGTCAAAATTTGGGTCAAAATTTGGCAATTCTAATCTAAATTTGATGACATATTATGCAGAGAGAATATCATATGTGATTGATTTTATATATGATGTAGATTTTAGGAAGACATCAGTTTGAGCTTCCTTAGTGTGGATAGAATATTTGAATGTTGTAAAATTGGTTAGAAAAATAATTGAAAGCAACTGTATATTTCACGGATCATAACAACTAATAACAATGTCAAGGTTCAGTAAAAATAGTTTGCTTTTTTTGAAAAGGGTTTTGATTTAATTGTAATTCTTACAGAAGGAAATTTCATGGTTTGGAGAATTATCTTAAAGGAAGATTTACATACATACCACTCAATTCTTTTGTATTTACATATATAACACCTACACTTTTATTTTTACATATATGCTACCTTCCTGTGTATGAAAATGTGTATTTATCTTTTTAAAAGTTAAATTAATGGTATTCTTGATGTGATATGAAAAATTTGGGTGGTATAATTGTAAAAAACAAAGTTTAGGTGTTAGATATGTGAATACATGGGAAATGAGTGGTATGTATGCAAATTTCCCTATATTAAATATAGAAGGAACAAGAACATTGAAGAGAATTTTTATTTGACTACGTGAGAAAATGTTACTAACTTGATATTGGGATGTAGTATTGTGCTTATTGCTTTTGGTTTGACTAAGTGGAAGCTTTTGATATTTTGAAGCGAGGTGGGATATAATCTTTAAAGTTCAAACCTTAGCTCAAGACATTAAACTACAAGCAGATAACCTGATGAATTCTACCTTTATAATTTCCATAGTAAAGAGAAGTGCTACAAAGAGATGTTTTCGTAAGCAATGGGTTTCTATAGTTTTATTTAAATTATTTTTCTTATTGGTTTGACTCATATATGTTTTATAAAGCATTGTCATCATCATTAATCTCATCCCTACCATTGGTATTTTCTTTGCCGTTGGAGCTATACATCTTTTAATAATGTTTAAAATGTCGTTTAGGTTTTTTCAGCATTTGGATTTGTGCACAAGATTGCTACGTTCGAGAAGGCTGCTGGTTTTCAGGTCATTTATAAGTAGCTGTTCTCAAATGCATTAATAGATTCGTTTTGGCATTGAGACTCAAAAACTTCTATTTTGTAGGCCTTGATCCTGTTTACCGATGCAGAGACTGCCTCAGCTGCTAGAAATGCATTAGATGGAAGGAGTATTCCAAGGTTCTATTTGACTTTCTTAGATTATTTGGGCTATGGAATTTAATCTTGTACAAACTTACTGACCCTAGTTCTTGATTGCCAGATACTTGCTCCCAGAACATGTTACTTGTTGCCACTTGCGCATCTCATATTCTGCACACACAGATTTAAATATAAAATTCCAGTCACATCGCAGCAGGTATACATACATTTTGAGAATATTAAGTGGTTGGATATTTATTTGTAATCTAATTCAATTTTGATCTCTGCTTTCATCTTTTTTTTGGTTAAGCAACGTACCATCTAATGTTCTGGCTGATTTATTTTTCCTTTTTTAATAGGTAGTAGTGAAAGTCGGCTGCCAAAATTCAGATGTCTTTTACCCCTATCTGTAATTTTCCTCGTCACCTGGTTATGAATATAGTCTGAAATTCTGTTTATCAATCTTTATACCGAGGACAACATTGATAGATCCAAAGTATAACTGATTTTTCTGTTTTAAGAACATGGTATTGGATTGATTTTAGGTTTGCGTCTAATGTCTTAGTTTTGCCTTTTCTTTTTTATCTTGAAAAATGTTTTGGTAAGATGCTTGATTTAGTTTTTAGGTGCATGAGATGTTAGTGGACCTTTCTGTTATTTGGTTAGAGAAGGATAGAGGCTTTTCTTGGAATTGATCCTATTCTTTCTGTTATTTTTCATTCGTTAAAAACTGTTCAATACCATGTTCTAGCCTGAATGATTGTTTGATATATTGGCATGTGCGGAGCAGTAAGAGTTGGAGGGTGATCAATGGTTGTGAAGGGAGATTTGATGGATACCATGCAGTTTTTTTATCTGCTCCAACTACGATGTAGGAGGGAATAGAATTAACAAACTTACATTATTATATTTCATTGAAGACTTGAAATTGACATGTGCAGTGCAGAAGATATTGATGAAATAGGTTTATCGAACTTTTAAGAAGTAGCTTTAAACATTTCCTGTTAGGCATAGGAATTGTCTCTCTTATCCGTGCAAGTTATATACAAATGCTTATGTGATATTCTTCTTTGAGAAGTTTCAACCATAATTAAGACACTTCAATCTTCAATGGTGCTATTGCATTGATTAGAGAAATGTTTTTTTTTTTCTTAAAGCTTTAAGTTTACTTTTTTTGGAATTTTTGTGTCATATATTTCAAGCTTAAATGAGAAAATTTTTGGCTTGATAATGATACAAGAAATTCTAAAAATTAACTTCTGATTTCATAAACATAAGTTTTGTTGGTAGTAAGAAAGTTCATTCATGCAACATTCTACAATCTAACCTGAATGTGTAGAAAAATATGAAGGGAGTGCTATGAAGCAGCTCACAAGTGATTAAGCCACATATTAATTGATTTTGGAGAAATTAGAAGGTTTGTCTACAATGTTGTTGTTAAATGGCGTTTCATAACCCAATTATGCTGATAAAATGGGCATGATCTAAAATTAAGGTTGCATTCTCTCCATAAAATTTGTGGACCTTGAATGGGAAGATAACGGGCAAGGTATAAAATTAAGGTTGCGTTCTCTCCATAAAACTTGTGGACCTTGAATGGGAAGATAATTGAATAAAAGATACAATGATTAGAAGAATAATCAATATAACTTTTTTGAAGAGACTAAATAGAAAATGAGAGAAATTTAGGGATAGTGGGGAAGGCTGTGAGATATATTGAGAAAGTTAATTATAAAACAAGGTTGGCAAATGAGTTGTGTGGAATATGAAAATATCATGGACATTTAAATGTAAAAGGGTAGACCAAATATTACTTGGATAGAGTTTGTCAAAAGAAGTGTTTAAAATAGTTTTAAAAACTCATACTACACTAGGTTGGACTAATGTTAGATGCAGTATGTATTTACAGAATATTATGGACGTGTTAATGTAAATTCTATAAAAGTACAATTATGTCAGCAATACTATATGAATGAGTATTTGATAACTAATAAATCACTGATAGACAAAGTTGAGCAAGTCTAATGATTTGGGGTAAAGCTAGAAATGATATATTAAAAAATGATTATATTAATAATATAGTGGCAGTAATATCTATTACATATGAAGTAGTGAAAAATATGCGTAGCTGTTTTTAGATTTACAATAAAGTTTAGAAGTTGCATTATTAAGATGAATAAATAAAGCTAAAGAGGTAGACCAAATAAAACTTATATAGAGTTTTTGCAGACAAGATTTGCATAAAATAGGTTTAAAAACTCACACAGCACTAAGTTGGATAAGTGTTGATTGTCTCTAACATTTAAATGTAAACTCTAGAAAATTGTAATTAAAACATTTTTCCGACTAATATGAGTATTTGGTAAAAAAAATATTGATAGAGATCTTGAACAAGGCAAAACAACAATGTTATAATGGATGTATAAGAAAGTTAGAAATCAATCATATAAAATTGATTGTATTAGAGGGATGATGGAAGCAACATCTATTGAATATAAGCAGTGGAAAGTAGACTTCTGTGATTTGACATGTGCTACAAAGATTAAAATAGCCCCACAATAAGGCATAAGGACGAATAGAAAATAAGTTCGACATAAAATAGGAGTAATGACGAATGAAAAGTGAGGGTATTTTATGAGCCCAAGCAGTTTGGATAAATTTAATGATGACGATGAAGATATTCATTGTCCATCAAATTGGTTGACGATACATTTCTTTTCTTACATGATATTAAGTTTGTAGTTACTAAAACTCTTATTCTTTCATGGATATTTGGTTTTTGGGGTGCTCAATCTTTTGTTCTTCAGCATCTATGCAAGATTGGGAGCATTTATTAATGCACAGATAGTGAAAATAGAACTTATCCTGCTAAAGTTAGCTAAAAAACTGAAATTTTTTCTCATAGTTTTGACGGCCTTTTGATCTCTAAAATTTATATTTTATTGTACTTTCCAGATTGCATTTGTTATGTTACGAGTCAGCTTTATTTTGTTTAGTTCACTTCCAAAGTTTGAGTGCCTAACTCCTATGTCATGAGCTTATAACTTCATATATTTGATTCGCTGAACAGAGATTACACTAATCCTTATCTGCCTGTTAACCCTTCGGCAATAGAGAGTGCTTTACAGGTTTGCTTCTTATGGTGATCTTTGTTTTCTTTTTCACTAAATATGTCCAATTTTAAATATGTGTTTTGTATGCAGCCTGCATTAGGTCCTGATGGTAAGACAAAGGAGCCTGAGAGCAATGTACTTCTTGCTTCCATCGAAAATATGCAATATGATGTTACTGTTGATGTGCTTCATACTGTGAGTCGTTTGCTTTTGCGATATCGATAATAATAGGTTACATTCTTTAATTTGTAACAACATTTCTCATATAGAAAAGAAATCCAGGTCTTCTCGGCCTTCGGTACGGTCCAAAAAATTGCAATATTTGAGAAGAATGGTGGCATGCAGGCTTTAATCCAGTATCCGGGTAGGCTGGAATAATTTACATTGCTTGTGATTACATTAAACTGTAAATAATAACGCTTGACGGTTTATCTTGTTTTTCTGGTTGTTTATTTATATTAGGCACTTACCATGATCTTTGTTGTTGCCTAGTCTTATATTTTATTTGCACATTCTATAATTGATACGGCTTTCATTGATGCTTATTAGTTTCTGATTGTTATATATCATTGGTCCTGTTGATGGGGATGTGTATGTTGGTTCATTCTCATTATATGCAATGCAATCTAATAGTGTTTTATTTTACTTTTATATCCAGGCTTCTGAGAAAATAATGGGATTTTGTTATGTTATTGCAGATGTGACAACTGCAACAGTTTCTAAAGAAGCATTAGAAGGGCACTGCATCTATGATGGTGGCTACTGTAAGCTTCATCTGTCATATTCTCGTCATACCGATCTCATTGTAAAGGTATAAATATATTTGTGTTGTTTGAAAATATTGATGAATAATAACATAACAAACATTAAGGTCGATTGATAATGAAGAACTTTGTTATATCGAAATAGGGTCATTTGGATAGGCCTCAATCATTAGCATATGATTTTTTCGTGCTTATTAATCCTTTATATTTAGTTCTTCCTAATATATGCACATTTCTTTTTTCAGGCGCACTCTGATAAAAGTAGGGATTATACAATTCCTGTTTCAGGCGTTCTTTCATCACCACAACCTCCTGCTGTGCCTGCTGCTGTCGCCAGTTGGCAAAGTGCTCCTCAAGCTCCATCAATGTATGGCGCTCCAGCAACTTCTGCCAGGCAAATTCCAACATGGGATCCTAATATGATGGGGGTTCGACCTGATTTCTCTACAGTAGCTCGCACATACACCGAACAAACTTATGCCCCGTCATCTCTATCTCCATACCCTACATCTGGGCGGCACCCTGCCACTACTGAATTGCGTCAACCTTCTCAATTTCCCCCACACAGTGCTCAACCGGGCAGTTGGCCTTCAGCTCGACCACCTTTGCATTAGTAATGTCTTCTGTATCCTCTACCGGTTGCTGTTATCAGACAACCTTTTGAGCTGATTTTGATGCCACAGTTGCTCTTCATATTTTTAGTGTCTTCATTATCTCACCAAGTGTGGTGTTTTCAGTTTTTAGCGTTGTTTCCTGTTTATTTTTATGTTGTTTGATGACAAACTATGTTTGCTCTTTGCGGAATATGAGACTAATTTTCGTTCTTTTTCTCTGTTTGTTTGACCTCCCATCTGACAGATGTTATATGTTTGCGCACAGGGAACATCATCTACCTACCTAACCCCTGTTGGATTCATTTTTACTGTTGGCATGATTAGGCGTTAGGTGGATGACATGAATAGTGATTAGGACAAGCACGAACCATTCATTGTTGAACTAAAAATTCACGTGTATTGTCCCTCAAGGCATCTTGACAATATGATGGTAGTTCGGGACTATAGCGTCTAAATTTGCTCGAGGTTTATTTTGAACATAGTCTCTAATTAATGTCAAATATTGTGCCCTAAAACTCATTAAACTTTTGTTTAACCTTGTTGAGGCAATTTGACAACTTTGCTGCAACGGGAGTTTATTTAAACCTTAATATTAGGACTAAAGTGCATGGAACTTGCAAGGCTTAATAGCGGAGGAAGTTGTTTTGAATCATTGTTGATAAGTTGCTCCTTATAATTCAATAGCCAGAGAAGGGTTTGGGGAATTGTGTGGTTATTAGAGTTTAGGGTTATTGGGGTTATTGGTTATTGGAGTTGTGTGGTTATTTTGGTGTTATTTGTATGTTATTAAGATGATATTGCTGTCTGCGTGTTCCGTATGCAAATATTTCTCTCAAGAGATATTATTATGCCACAAAATATTGTCAAACAAGAGTAAAGCCTAGGTGAATAATTTTTATATTAATGTACAAGCAAGAGGTGAATACACAAGCAAGAGCAACGAGTGGGGCAAATTGCCATGTGAGGCAGTGTTCTATATCGAAGGGGGCGTAGATTTGACATGGGAGGTACGGGTGGCATGGATTTCAGATATGCATGGAAGTGGCGTAGAATTACGATATGGAAGATATCAATAGTATAGTTTTGACGCAAGTAATATGGTCATTGTCTGGTTGAACTTGCTAATGCTAAATTTGATTTTGAGATCTCATGATGCTATATGGAGCTGGTAGATGGATTTGAAGATGGATTGGGTATGGTGATTAATAAGGTATGATTCATCGGAGACAATAAATCTAGTCAAATTGACATTTGTGGACTTAACATGATTGACACAACAAGGAATCAAAGCAATGTCAGAAAACTATTTATGACAACGATACTTTCTCACCGAATATGAATGCTTTTGTTTTTATTTATTTATTTTTATTTTGGGAGTAGAGAGGACTATAAAAGTTGAAGTTGATTATGGTATCACTGAGGGCGAGATAGAGATCAAAATAGTGAGGCAAATCACGCACTACTCTTAGACTCATACAGAGATTGTGCATCTCACATAAGGTTCAATGATAGTGCAAATTGCTATGACACTAATATAAAGTAGGATAAATGATAATTCAAGAGCATTAATAATTCCAAAAAATGTGAGATTGAGGGGAAGAAGAGAAGCGAGGGCGGGGGGATTTTTTAATTTTTAATTCATCATGCTTTAATACTAGTAATGAAAACTTAAGGTCTATGTATAAATTTTAAGGCTAGCAATTCAATGTCTAGTCATAATTATTTTAGATTTTTTTTGTTTGAACTTTTATCAATGACAGACACTTCAGATCATGCCTTAATTTCATAAAAAATTAACTCAATGATTTCAATCATGGATTGCCTTTATTTGAATCATTAAATAAAGTGGCTCATACCCTCTTTGAATGTGATTGACATGACTTAATCTTAATAAATTTAGCCTTGTATGCCCTCCTCGTTCCTTAGTGTATTTAGAGGTTTTAGGCCCCATTAAGCGAACATGTGCTTTGAGTTAACCTGACTTAGTTTTAGGTACTCCTTCCTCTTTCATAGCTTTTATGTATTTAAGCCCATTAGTCCAACTAGATTAACCCTATGACTATAACTTAACTTGCCATTAGATGTGGATATATTTACCCTTAAGTTTGATTTAATGGACTCGAGTCTTCATATAACCCATATTGGATTTAGTTTCATGAACGCAAATCTTATTTGAGCTTTATATAACTCTAAGAGATCTTAATTCACTCTTAGATCACATTTAGACTACCTAAATTTGCTCTAGGATCCACTAGATTGATCTAATTTCCCTAAGCTCAATTGATTGTATTAATAGATTCATAATTTATGCTAGTACTTACCAAACTAGAAATCTAATTTTGGATTGACCTAGCCCTAGTTTTGAATTGACCTACCGAATTGGATGTAAAGTCTATTTAGACTCTCTTTAGTCAACTAAATATTAACTTAGGTGAACTACAATGATTTTAAATAGACCTATTCTCAAATTAACTCATTATGATCTAAGATGATATATTAAGGTCTATGCTTGCTTGCATAACCCTAAATCCTATAGCTTTAACTAGGTTAACTTATAACTAAATAGATCTTAGTCCTAAACCTATATGAATCTAGGAAACCCTAATTCAATTGCATTAATTATATTTAAGGTATGATGACTATTAGATTATAGTTAAAGTTTAATCATATTTAAGGTTAAAATATTATTAAATAGATCTTAGTCCTAAACCTAACTTATAACTAATAGGACTGTTAGATTATAGCTGACTTAAACTTAAATTACATTAAACTAATGTAAAATATCCTTGACCCATTCAGTAAGGCCCAAATATTTAATTGATCCATCATGAATGTCATTCATGTTCAAAGCTATTCTAAAGCTTAATCATATTTAAAGTATAATAAAAATCTCTGACCCATTAAGCTTATCCCAATCTTAGGGCAACACAAGCCAAACTCCTAAGGTGGCATAGTTGCCCTAACAAAATCTAATTAAACTCACCCTAAATCATTGTAGCTCAATAAGTACTTTATAGGCTAACTGAACCTTTAAACAGTTTGAACCAAAGTGAACTTCAATTAAATCAAGTTTAGTTTATATTGAGCTTGATTTATGAAAGATGGCCTTACAAGTCAAATCGCACTAGCTTATAGGCAATTTAAACCTAACCCTATGTCTATGTGGACCTAATTAGGTGAATAACCTATCCATTTAGCTTAATTAAGACGATTAAACTCAAATTAGCTTAAATTAATTCTTATTGCATTAAATAAGGATATATAACTAAATAACCATGCATTGATGATTCTATATTGATAACCACATAATTGGGTTTCTTAATTTTTTTGGCTAATTTGTTAGACCCAATTCTTAAATTTCAACCAAAAAACAAAAAAATATGTCATGTATTTGTATGGTGACATTACGTCATTATTATTAAAATATTGAGGTAAGTAGCTCAAAATTATTTTCAAACGAAGTTATAAAACTAATTTGTAAGGCTTTATTAATCTTAAACGAGATTATAAATTTGAAGTCCCTTACATTATAACATTAGATATTGTTCAAGAATTTATCCTAGTGATATAAGTGATCCTTATGTTACAAGTCTCTTTAATAGGTTTTTCTTCAATACTATCTTGATGAAATTTAGGCTCCAAAATTTAAATAGTTCAATCAACAAGCATAAATTAAATTTCATCAAATTATTAAAGCTAAATCATCTATAATAAGCCTTAATGATCCTACTAGCTCGTTATAATATGTCTGTTTGACCAACCAATTAGAGCATGGTGTAGTCATTTCCAAAATTATTCATCAAAATTTTCGCATACTTCATTTGTTTTATCTATCCATCTATCCATCTATCCATCTAGGTAAAAATGATAATGACATTCCTAAACTTGGTAGTTTTAAGTGGAAATATTTAGCTAAAAATATTTGGGGCTAATGAGTCAAGATAATTTAAAACAATTTTATAACCCAAATACTTAATATTCCTACCTTTTCTCCTTTGATATTTATATAAATTCTCTTGTAAATTTGAGCCCATCCACCCTTGAATTATTCGATCAAAATATGAAATTTAAAATTTGGAAAATCATAAGACTAATCACTCTTAAAAAAAAAAAAAATTCTTCGAAGCTAATGTATTGTGATGTAGATTATCATAAGGAACTTTTTTAGTGAGAATATATATATATATAT